TCCTGTGACATGAAATCTCGCAAGGCTCATTGCATGTTTCAGAAGGCGCCACCAACTTGGTTGATCTCGAGGACGATTCAGAGGGGAACGATCGATCAAAAATCGAGATCGACATCACCACTGAGTCCTTCGACGAGTTAGCTCTGTGGAAGTGGTAGGTCGACCGAGATAGGCTATCTTACATGGACTTCTGTTGAGGCTCATGGTCGAAGGCCTGCATGTGCATCTGCATCGCGCTGTCGCAGAAGAGCCCTCTGTTGAGGGGGAAGCAGTGGCAGCAGCTCCGCTACTCGTGGGCCGAGCTGAGCTCTCTGAGTCGCGGCTGTTTGATCCACCTCGCGTAAGTTTCTTCATTACGATAGTGTGCTGAAGGTCTCTTCCTTCACACTGGTTGCTGCAGATGGAAGAATGCCTCCCTAATTTGGTGCGTGTCGGGGTTGAAGATACGATCGAAGCTCAAGAGGAAGACGGGTCGAATGACGTATTGGGTGAGAATGACTCAGAGAAAGTCGACGAAGTGAGCTCCTCTTACCGTGTTGTTATCATTTTGTGTGATCATCAGATGCCCCTGCATGTTGCTGCTGGACACTGCGCTATCACCACTGGGGTTATTCGAGTCCCACTGTTCGTCTATTCTGATGCTACTACTGATAAACTCCTCGCCGCATCGTCTCTGAATCAGGTAGCAACTGGAACAATCCTTCCCCACCGCTTGATTCGACATCTAGATCGTTAATGAATGTATCAGGACCCCATAGGCCAGCATATGTATTTGGAGTTCGAGATGAAGGCGTGGACGCTCCGAGGTGATGAAACTGCTTAAGACAGCGTGGCATGAATATGAACACGTTCGCAATGTCATTTCGAAAATCTGTAGCAGTGTTGTGTTGACAAGTGCTGTGAACACGAGTCGGAGTAGATCCAACGTGATGGAGAACCAAGATAGAGCACGGACGACACTTCTGTACATTGATATTTGATATTGTTGCAGTAGAATGTATATCGATTATCGCGTGCTAAACTTCCTGAAAGTCGGCAATGGCAAGCTGCCACTCGTGAGGACCATGATTATTTAATGCTCTCAACGCCCTCACATTGGTAAGCCCGACCACGTTATCTCTGTGAGCCTCTGAGGGCCACACCGCTTCCATGGACGCAACGCACACCTCGAATGGAGCATTTCTAATCATGAGGGTGTGACAGTATGACCCTGGGTTGAACTCCGGAAGATTATCAATAGTTCTACCCCGAATGTTTCGGTCAAGATCTATCTCCAAGGAAGGATTCTATGCCCAATTCTGGACGTTCGCCCTTTTCTGAATTCCCAATCCGATTTGTTCCTTCACCGAATGCTCACCACACCCAACTAATGCTTGATTCGATTCTTGTCTCTACGTCATTCTCAATCTCCCGTCCTCGACCAGCTAATATGTTACTATGATGTGGTCCGCCGCTGGAGCTCTTTGCCTCGTTATTACAGCTCAGTGGCTCAGCACGCGACTCGCGTGCTGAGCCACTGACTCGCGTGACGCGAGTCGTCGTTTCTCTATCCCCTCCGATAGACCTTGCACAAATCTCGTAATCGCAATGAAACTATAACTAAATCAGACACACGTTCGAGGTAAGCCTACCCTCCGAGTGAAGGGGCCCTCAGACTGTAAAAGCTCGAGCCCGAGGAGAACCTCTGCTCAGGAAGACTCCACAGCGGTGATGGTTCATAACCCGCACCGTACTCCTCTCCACCAGCTAGCTCTGGGCCCAGCGGGGCACTAGAAGGAACTGATCTCGTCACGTCAGCTGAGAGCGACCGCGATGCTTTGAGCATCCTAGTCACCGCCGGGAAGGCCATAGGCACGACTTGCAGCAACTTAGCGCTCTCCTGCCCGGCCTCGGCGACCCAAACGATCATGAGCCGCGTCGTGACACCACATGCTACTGTTGAGAGATCACTAGATAGATCGCTTTCACGAACAGGGGCGAAATCTAGGGCCGCCACTCTGAGCCCTTCCCTGGGCGCCGGAACAGTACCGAGCAAATCGACGTTGGATGGTCCTTGACCCTCGAGGACTTGGGACAAAGGGGGGAGGACTTCATATACCTTCACCTCAGAGCCGCCATCACTAACAGCAAGCCTCTGGCCTGTCGAGGGGCAGAGGGCACTGTATGACGCTGAAGGTAGATCGCCACTGAAGGCATAGACCTTAGGTAGGGTCGGCGTCTGTCCATCAAAGACCCATGATGCAGAACCAACAGCCCATTTCCCCTCCTCTTCGTTCAGACGGGGCCATATGAGCTCCGACAGTCTAGATGCTGAAGATACGTAGAGCCTCTCGGAATCCAACGGCCAGTGGAGCCGGCCCGAGCTCGAGCTCATAGGATCCAAAGTAGCCCGGAGGACAGTACAACACTCTCCCGTGGAGACGTCCCAGGTTCGAACCTCGCCGTTTGCATACCGCACCGCCAACAGATTAGAGCAGGACCTTGCTGAGCACCAGGCCACTGACGTGACCTCCGCCGTCCTTAGGCGCCTCAGTACCAGTGGGATCGCCGAGGACAGTCCCACCGTGGCCGACTCCCACACTACTACTACATTCGAATACGCCACTGCCAGTAAGGATCCATCTCTAGGGGAGTACTCGACGACAGAGGGGGCCACAGGGAGACTGCGATTAGCTATGATCTGCCAATCCTCGTGCACGCCCGACAGGGACGTTATAACGAGGCCAGACACAGTACCCAGGGCTATAGATAGAGGACACGGTGAGGGAGCAAAGGCGACGCAGCTTCCTGAAGGGACGAGCAAGCACTGACAGTGATCAGAGTCGGCTGGCCATACCTGTGACCCGAGGGGTCTTCTTAGGCAAAGCCAAATTGAAGACTTTACGATGAAGCCGATCGATGAGGGTAACCTCGCCCTTGGGGGATACCAAGACGTTGTAAGGGGCCGAAGGATGCGATGAACAGTGCCATTGGGGACTAGCAGCTTCCAGAGATATCTATGCAGCAATAACAGTCGACGTCTCAAGGGCCTCCAAGACTTACCCGGGGTGCCTTCAAAAACCATGAAGTCACAGCGTAGTCTGCAGAGAGCTGATCCAGAGTGCTCCACGGGGCTAGCAGGTCATTGGCGAGGAACTACACCCCAACATCAATGAGGACAGGTCCGGTTCTATCCGAGTACCTCTCCCACGGCTCCCCACTGTCGAAGCCTGTCCAGCAACCCACTGGTCTTCCCCTCCCCTATAGTGTTGGTCGCGGCCAAAGTCGACGCACTCAAAGACGGTAGTGGTCCACCATGGTCGTCAGCAGTGAGTGACACCAGCCAGGCCTCCGCACTGCAGCTACTCACCTGAGGTCCATGTGGGTCGATCGAGAAGCGAAGCGATGATCTACGAAATACTACTCCCACTGAGTCCAAGTCATGACGTATTCTGCCTTCACTCTCAAAGCTGAGCTTATCCTTTTTGCCACCCCCAGTACGAGCATCTGACCACGAACTGCGTCGAAGAACACCATCGCGAACAATGGATGGGCCCCATCCCCAGTAGTACCATCAGCGTTATCCTCCTCAGCAGACAGCGAACTGGTCCCCCCAGTGCTTCTCCTACGGAACGTATTTGGACTGAGCGTAGGTGGGGTAGAGGCAGCGCGCCTTCTACCGTGGTCGTTACTACCCGACCGAATCGGGGAAAGGGATGGTGAGGACGTCAGCATAGCTCAAAATGCCAACACTGCAAGGAGAAACGCCAGCTTGAGGGCCCCATCCAATGAAAGACTAACATGAGGATCTTCGAGGCCCCAAGGGACCAACAAGGCCCTAGGTACCGGAGGGTCTGATACATAGTACTCTGCTAAGGCTCGTATTCAATGAGAACCTGGCACGAAGACCCCTTCAATTGAGGGCACTTCAACAAAAGATGGTAAGAGATGCTGGGACAGTTATTTATGATTACACTATGGCAGGGCATGCTCCATTTGACGGCATATTGCCGATCCAACGCTACAGTCAACTGAGGATCTACATAGTGTCAAGTAGTGGGTCGGCGGCTGCCGATTGCAATGTACTGGGCAGTCCTATGGTCCAGGTGATGGAGGGATATGCTCCCTAGCAGCCGCTCAGGCATGTCCACTTCTTCTTGGGACTCCACCTAAAGCGAATCCACTACGACTGAGTACGACGGAACCGATAAAAAGAACCCACGAGTTGGATGAAAACCAGAGACGTTCAGCGACCCCAACGATCGATCCGCTGCGTTCAGGCTATTACCAGGTATCCAACATCTAGTACGACGTCCCTCACACGCTCCTTCACTTGGGCTAGCGTTGTCCGGGCTATTAGAGACCACTTACGAACATCGTAGTCGATCTCAACATACCGGTACGGTCGAGAACCTAAGTGTGCCCCTTGGGGTGCGGGGGAAGGATCGACACTGACCTTCCAGGATGGTCGCACTCCCTGTTATGAGGGCCGGCTTGCCGTTGTATCTTTCTATGATGCCCATAGCGGGTAAGCTTGGGAGATCAGTGAGGTTCTGGACCCGACCAATGACTTTAAACGGAAGATTCCGATCAGAGATGCCTGATGATCGGATGAGCACCTTGATTGTATAGGAAGATCCCCACCTCGGTCCAAGAGGTTGAGCCACAATCCGACCGATCTCGGCACGTCGGGGTCGTGGGGCCTCGAGGACCTACCACCACAGGGGCTCTCATGAGACCTTCGCGGAGTAAATAAGGGGATCTCACCAAGAAGCCATCTCCCGAGTGATCATAAAATAGACGATGACACTATAGCCCGGATGAGGCTTTTGCGTCGCGAAGGGGTTGAAGGACGGCCCCTCCCCGGGTACTTGGGCGTTCACTACGACCAACGCTGGGGCATCACACTGCGATGTGTACCTGGAATTGCTTATGAAAAACGCCCAAACGGATAACTAACTTTACCATGGAGGAAGGGGAGGGAAATTCATATGCCTTGCGACGTCTGATAGCACATCATCTCCCCGCAAAAGGTCGGCCCCTATGGGCTCATATAGGGCTGGTAGGCTAGGCGCCTTGGTGCCAGTGCGAGCATAGTCAGGACCGCACCTTACACTGAAGTGGCAGGCCTCTCGAGGTGACCACGTCGCTGTCCCGTGGGGCGTGTCCTCCTGTCGGAGAGGCAAGGAAGCACCCATATTGTGGGAGACCAGAGGTAGCGGGTCCGGCGATGGTATCCATTGCGGACCATCCGCTGTCTGTTTCGCTGTGACATAAGAGACTTCACTGACGGTTCGTGAAGGAGGGGTGATGGAAAGAGTGAAGGTGACATCTCGTGGATCCACGATGGTCTCCGGTCGCGGGAAGATGCCAACACTGACGGCGGAGTAGTAGGCGGAGGCACTCCCTGGTGAGGACTGGCCGAGGGAGAGGGCCGGGGAGGAAGCGTCGATGTCATCCCATTGGTCGCCGCCGCTATTGGAGGATTTACGCCACTTGTCAAAGCGGTAGGAGGAAGTGACAGTTACTTTCTGACAGAGTGCACGGCATCCACACGTGGCCATAAAAACGGGAGAGGAACTAACACGGAACATATATTTCATCGTGAACTTTCACGAGCTAAAATGCGCACTGGCAGTTTGAGCCTGTGGTCAGCATTTAGTTGAGGAGTAAATGAACGTCAAATCAAAGATGACTACGCCGACGATAATTATTCGACGAGAAGGGTTGATCTCCTCGCGCGTGTCAATTTTGGTGATGGAAAATCCAGTGGCATCTCTGTGGGAGACAGAAGCTTTTCACACGTCACGGAATTCTCAAAGCTCATTAACGACCAGTTCTGGGAATTGGTTTTGAGTTCTATTGAGCGGCCCAAAAACCAGCCTTGGAAGAAATTCCAGAATCAGTTCAACGAACGTCACTTAATAGCTACTACGCAAATTATTATAACGTCCCGACACTCCGGCCGTCACGACGACGACAACAACACATGATTTCGGGCGTGCGCTTTTTCAATTTTTTGGAGTCAAGATTCACAACAGGCGGTTTATGAACAATCCAAGTGCTTGGGCAAGTGGGAAGGACTAGACTGCTAAGGTTCTGCTGACGGGCCGAGCGGTGGCAGGAAAAACCAGTATGCGGTCGATCATTTTCGCCAACTATCTCGATACTGTGGGTGGTTTAAATTCTTGGTGATGGCAAGAGAGATAGTTCGAACTTCGTTGAGGCAGTTTAATTCTTCGTCGTCGCCCGACGTCTACTTGCGGGGTTATCACATCAGCATTGAATCATAGTGGGAGTCGGGAGTTCGGTTTTTCTCATGGTATGGCTCGTGTACGCGGATGTGGTCCCTGGCAGTCGTTACATGTGACTGTTGAAAAAAATGTAGAGAAACCAATGGATTGCCTCTACGGACGGTAGCCCTGGTGAAATCGCCAGTTTGCACCTGCTAGTTTTGCTCGTGCTCACTGAAACCGCAGCATGTGGCTTAGCGACAAGAGTGTGCATGTCAGCCCGGGGTGGACGTGAGTCACTGGCACGTGGGATGTTCTGAGGGGAGATGAGGTTGTCTCGGTAGTCTGTGGTCTTTGAGAGGAGTTGATCATCAACTGGGACATCTAGCCGCTTGGGGGGTAGATGTCTCCGCAGAAGAAATCAAATTGGCGTTAATTTCGGGTTCAACTCCGGCTCGTATCTGAGCTACTTCGCTTGGTGGGCAAGAGGTTTGAACCTACACGTCTCGATAGGCCATGGTGATGCGTTTTAATATCATTTATCACAGCAACGTTCGTAGTCTTCTCATCACCACATGCCCACGTCGCCGTCCCAAAACCCGCTGTCGGCGCTCCCACGAGGTATCATGGAGAATCTTAGAGTTCTCGAGCTCGCGACGTACATTGCCGGACCGGGAGCAAGTCTTATTTTTACGGAGCTTGGTGCTACCACGATTAAGGTGGGGAGTTCACTCGTTCTCACTAATGACCACTCGGTAGGTTGAAACCCCGTCGACGGATGGGTCTAGTGCTGGTGGCGATCCTATGCGACAGCTTCTGCTGCCCTTCGAGCCTGGCAGGCCCCATAGTAGCATTTTCGAGATGTTCAATCGCGGCAAGGAAAGCATCTGCCTTGACTTGAAGTTAGAGAAGGTGGTGGCTCCAACAACCGCCCAGGCAAATTCACTCAGCTCGCGAGCTTTCAGGATATGCAACTCTTCTGGGAGCTTCTCGAAGATGCTGACGTTTTTATCACAAATGTTCGTATTGATTCCCTGTGTAGTCTGGGTATTGACCACCGAACAGTGTGTGCACAGCTACCATCGCTGGTTTATGTCCTCATGACGGCGTGGGGGACCAAAGGGCACGGATATCAGAAACCTGGTGAGAACAGCCGATCCGCGGTTTCAGCTTCATCGAGATGGTTGATGGATGGGCGCTGAATTTCGGACATTTGTCAGGACTGAATTCTCCTCTTTGTTTCCACTCAGTTGGAGCTGCTCATACGACAAGCATTTCTATATCTGAAATTTGCAGTATTGGACACTTCTCGATGGGAGGGCGGTGGAGTAGCTCTTCTTATCCTCAGGCTATGACGTTGGGGCTTTCTGGGCTGCCAGTGGGGCTACATGGGTTCTGCACGAGGAAGGTGCTTACTCTATCTTCCCTCTAGGGCTGGGGGACTCCACCACAGCATGCGCTGTGTCATCAGGGATTGCCACGGCTCTCTACAGAAGAATGACAACGGGTAAAGGGCAACTGGTGAGTTAGATTTTAACGTCGGTGTGTTGTACCACTCACGTTAGGTGGACTGTTCTCTCCTGCACGTGGGTAGCTGGTGTATGTCTTACGAATACGCTCGAGGGGGGCCGGGCAGGAGTGGTCGTAGGGAGGACCAGTATCTGCATCTTCCAGATGGCGAGTGGATCGCCGTTCTGGATGCAGCGGATGTACCCAAGGCTCGGCTAGCGGTCAAGGGCTGCAAAGGGCAAGCTGAGGGTCTTGACATTCTTTCCAGGAATAATGTGCCGTGCCTTCCCATACACACGGGGACAGTCAAGTGAGCAAATCTCTCTAGGGGTACGGTGTCTGTGGGATCGGTCGTTAGGTTCTTCGAGGACTTCCCTGAAGATCCCGTTCTCAAACCGTGCCTGATAAAGTCGCCCGCTGTGGACAAGACGTGTGTTCTTTCCGCGATTCCCTTCCACGTCACTGGGCTGAAGCCACCTAGAAGTGGCGCTCCGGTTTTTAATTCTCATGAGAGTGTGATACGCAAGAGAGGCTTTCAAGAGGCGGGTCATCGCCGTTTTCTGCCTCGACATGTGGCCAAGGCTCCGACCAAGGCCCTGGAGGGAGTCCTCGTAGTTGAACTGCCCGTGGGCGACTGCCTGGGAATCCGCGCTGCCGGTGCTATTCTGGCTGACTATGGCGCTACAGTGGTCACTTGCAATATGCTTCCTGATAGCCACTATGAGCGTGGGAAACAGTCCGTGACTGTATCGGAAATCGATCAAATGTTCCGAGATAAGAAGGTGACCGGAGTGATGTGTGAGCAGAGCGAGGATTGGCTGAGAGACAACGGCCTGGACGTATACTTAGCTGATGAGGACACCAACATGGTCGTCCTGAAATTCAATTCCGGTGAGTCGGGGCATGTCTTGAGGTTGTGGTCATAGGGCTCTCTATTTGAGGTATGGACAGCGACAAGGAGAGGACTCCTCAGTACCACACCGACTTCGCTGCCTGGTGGATTCGTGCTGGAATGATCACTATGGTCAAGGGCGTGGGTGGTCGCCATCTTCCGAGGCTGCCATGGCACTATGGGGACCTCCTCATTTCCACTCAGGTGGTTACGTTGTCTATGCGCTCGTATTCTATTAGTTATCGCTCATCTAGGTATGTGCTGGTTTCCTCTGTGCGCTCCTACACCGTCGAATGACCGCTAGGGGTATTGCTGTGAACATGTCCTACATCCGTAGTGGTCTTTGGAACTGCAGCTCAACCGTATGTTCAGTCACCTGGTCAAATGATACACGTCTTCGCTGCTGTTTAGTTGGCTCCTGTAGTCGCGACACCTACTCTTTGCACATTGGTGTTGAAAAACTACGAGATATGCCGGAGGACCTGGCCCCTGGTCACGTGCAACTGCCATCGAACTAAGGATGGGGCCTGGATACAGATGTTATGTAGGGCTTGGATGGGCGATAGCCCCGGAGTAAACTGGGGTTTGAATGCTTCATGGTAGGTGTGGAAACAGACAGGGGCCTCAGACGCTTCTGGGCTGCCATGAACCCGTGGTATCGCGCACGCCTATTGAACGCTGTCTCCAGAGGCGGCGCCGACTACCTGTAAGGGGCTCAGAACTAACGTTGTAAGTTGAGGCTCTCAGGTGGGCCAAGTTGTCACCATTTGATCACTCGTCTATGGTGGAGAGATTGACGCCTCTTCTGGGGTATCTCTTTGATGTCCTCGAGTCCTTCATATCGAATCATACTCTCGAGGAAATGGAGCATTTGGACGAAACTCACGACCTGTGGTTCACGAGGTAGGGGGATCAGTGTTGGATTGAATTCTAACTTTTCTAAACTTAGATCAGGAGTTTCCTCGGTAGTTATAGGAGTTTATATACGAGTTCGGGTAGAGGTGTACAGAAGCCTACAAGAATTCGCCAAAATTTTCATAGCGTTAACCACACATGTAGCTGACCGTGTGCATGTTTTCTCGCACTGGGGAGAGGGCTATGCTCCATATCCAATGCATTGCTCGCTTTCCATGGGGTCTTTGATCAGGATCAACAAGCCAGAAGAAGCGTGCCGTGTTGAGCAGGCCCACACTACCGGAATATGGGGTACTGCTGCTGATGGGCAGAAGTTTGTCACCGCGCCATTCAATCTATCCGATTGCCCTCCGGTGCGATCTGGAGTCCGTTTGAGCCCAGGCCCTTCTGCGGTCACCACCTCATCTAAGCTCTAATCACTATTGAAATGAGTAAGTCATTTGAGGCTACCATTCCTCTTCCAACTCTACTCTTGCGAGAGTCTCTCCTCGACTTCTCATCTCAAACTGGCATGTGCCCTTGTGGACTATGTTGAAGTCATATCGCGGGTTCTCAGGTGAACTTTTGCCACTGCTGTAAGTGGACTACTTTGTCGTATCGCGTACCACCTCAGACGCGTGTCACTGGGCTCGAGATTGCAGCCTTCAGTGATCATCCGCTTTTTGACCTGCATAATTTTTCTGTCACCTTTTACGACTAGGTGCGAGCTCCTCGTCACATTCGGAGTGTTTGGCTGAGCACACGCACGATGTTATTCCGTCTAGCTTAGTGTAAACCGATCGCCCTTAAGATTTGACTTCAAGATCGCCAAGTGTCACGTTGGGTCGTTCGGTCGGTCAATACAGTTCCAGGGAGGAGGGACCCCTCACGAAATATGCCCTCATAGCTCTTCGGTGGGAGGCTCGGGTATTGGCGGCGATTGAGTTAGTTTTGAACATGGGAAGTCGGCGATTGACAGATGGCAGGGCACCGAAGAAGCAGTGCACGATGGACAGGTTCCTCACACGGCCTCACCGACTCACGGCTCAGCCACTGGTACCATCTCGGGCTTTTTTGCGTGATGGGAGGCTGATTTTACTCGAGTGGTTCGATGCTGAAGTTTGATTGGGTGTCGGGCTCTGTACACGATGTTGAGGTCATAGTCGTGTGTGTTGTGTAGCCTCGGATGATATCGGTGGACATGGACGGCACTGTGGCTGATATCACCAAGCGACTCGACTATGCAACACGGCGAGCTGGCACGGATAAAGGCCCTAAGTACCAGAGGCTTGTTCGCCGTAGTTTTTTTCCAGAGGCCCTTGTAGGTTCTATAATATCCTCTTGAATGGTTCTCTGTACAAGATGGACGAGCCCATAGCAATGGCCAGGGACTTCCTCGAGAAGTAGGGTGCTACGCCACTTGGTCGGTCCATCGAATCTCAGGTATGCAGCCTCGAGGGGCGATATCGTTTACCTTTCGGGACGTCGTGCAGGGACAGAGGGGCAGTCAGACACGTGGCTTCGGCAGCACGGCTTTCCTAGTGGTCGGATAATTCACCGGAGGAGTGGTATTACATAAAGTTTGGGAATGAGGTCGATGCTCACCACTGTCAGGACAAAACTCCCATTACTTCAAGCAGAATACGTTGCTCAGCTTGAAGAGGTCTCATGAAGTTGAAGCCCACTTCGGGGACCGGCCTAGTGATGACGGGGGTGCAGCTGAAGGAGCCGACGTTCGCTTTATTCTGGTATAGGGCTGATCGTGGTGAGTAGGCAACGTGTTCATCCTGGTCATCAGGTAAGCAGCTCACAGTGGCCGACGTTCGAGGAAGTCTTCGGCGAGCGTGTTGAAACTGTAGTGACTTCGCCACTGAAAGTTGAGGCTGCTAATTCAAACGAGGAAGGAGAGCCGGTCGTGGAGCGTGTCGAAGCATAAGCTGAGCCTTTACCTTACGTATGATAATTCCCACGGTAGGATGGTGACCTGTACATTGCTAGCTTCTAAGGATAATGCCCCGCAAGTTGTGTTGAGTGACATCACATGTTAGATGGGCGTCAGTGGGGTTACTTTGATCACATGCTTTCTGCTAGTGGACGTTGGTTCGAGGCATGGGAATGCTCAGGGAAGGAGGAGGGAAGAGTGATGATTGAGGGTCCCTGGGAGACCCAAAGCGGTAGCTTCTATTTTGTGAGCGATGTAGTCGTCATCCATTACAGGGTACTGTAATCGTTGAGCCGTTGAATTCTCAAACAAGATATTGCTATCTCTAAAGCTCCATCCCCAGGTCTAGTACAGCTACGGGGGGATATGTAACAGGTTCAGCAACTGACATAATGAAGAAATTATGAATATACAACTTCATTGATATTCACGGGACCATCCTGCAACTTGCAATTCGTGTACTCACAAGAGGCACTAGGCTGAAGGGCGATATTATTGCAATAGTGGTATTGTGCATGGGAGCCTGAGCCGTGCTAGCTATCTCTTTGAGGGATGAGCTTTTGGAGGAGACAGCGGTATTGTGCAGCCACCAAAGCTTTCCAGGGCTCGCTTTTTGCTACTAGATCGACTGAGATCTCCCTAGTAAGTCGTGTATCCCTTAGTGTGTTCTCTTCTAACTAGCTGTTATTATTCCTCGGTTATGGCGTTATTGCTTTGGAATGACTGTGTCTTGGTCTGTTGGAAAGTTATGTCCGTGAAACTTCCAAGCTAGTGGTGGGACATGTAGTTACCTCTGTCCTCGTTGAGGTGTTTTGAATATATCAAGTGGCGCTGTTGCTTGCAGTGTTGGTTATTCCGACTTTGTTTTCTCTCGATTGACCATCACTCATGAGTGCATCGAATGAACCTATGGTGAACACCTTGTCGGGAGGCGAGGCTAGTCCGATGGAAAAGAACAAGTTCGTGACCGTTACTACTGGAGCATACACCCGGATGGTTATAATAGGTATAGGTTACTTGTTCCCTATCTCTGGTGAGCTCTCATCTGTCTTGTGATAAAAATGTATACCGTCTTTTCCTCAGCTATTTGGGCAGCCTTCGACTACTGGAAGACCTTATTTCCCGACAAGAACATTGAGTTCGTGGTCACTTGTCTGTACCAGTTCGGTTCGGTCATGACGGTCCTCATCCTTTCCTTGGGCAAGTCTATGAAGTTCCATCGACGGATCCTGGGTGGCTTCAGCGGACAATTCTGCTGCTTGTTCGTCATCTTCCTTTTCCGTTGGTTGGGACTACCCGCTGAGGTCGTCTATGACATCTTGCTGGGCCTAGTGTAAGTATTCTAGTCGTAGTTCATCCCTTTATAGTAGTCGTCCAGTGGGTTAACGGGGTTGGTGGTCGTTCTAGGTTCTTGATGTCTGTGGTGACTGGGTTTTTGGATTCCGCTTTACTAGCTCTGAACTCGCAATATTCGCCCAAGATGCAGGAGGCTCTACAGATCGGCATCGGTACGTCCTGTCGAGTGCAGGTTCGCAATGTCGATAACAACTGGTTTCCTTGATTCCGCTCTATTCGCGCTGAACTCGCAATATTCGCCTAAGATGCAAGAGGCGCTTCAGATCGGCATTGGTACGCCACACCGTGGCGAGGCCGCGAGAAATTCGGTGGAATTTTGTAAAAATCAATTCTCGTTTTTACCTCAGGTTTCTCAACTTTTGTGTCTGTCGTTTACCGAGACATTACCAAGCTTATCTCGACCTCCCAGGCTGACTCAACATCCATCTACTTTTTGGCTGCTCTCGCAACGGTGAGTCACTCCACTGGAAATTTTCTATGATTTTCCGACGGAAATTATTTGTTTTTGCTCGTATCGGCAGGTGGTAGTTTGTATCACAAGTTACGTGTCTCTCATGAAGATGCCGATCTCTGCTCACATCCACGAGGACGAGGTTTCATCCAGCCAGGAAACTCTACTGGGTAGCCCATCCTCTGCGGTATCAGACCACGCGTACCACATTTCTTTCAGATAAGAAAGAAGAAGAGGAGGTGGACATTTGGAAGGTTCTCCGCAGAGTGTGGTTCAACGAGCTCGTCATCTTCCTACAGTTCGTTTTGACTACTGCTTGCTATCCTGCTGTAAGTCCTAAGCTTGTGCGTTGGAGGAACCATCCGCTCGTCGAATTTCCATCAGATCCTCACTGCTATTCCCTGCTATACTTTAACGGCATTGGCCCCCGCTCACTGGTATCAGACTATTCTGTTATCCGTCTTCACAGTCTTCGACGTCATTGCTCGATTCTGTGTGCGCCATCGCGGCCCTCTTTATTACGGGAACATTTGGATCACTGCGGTTATACGTAAGTGCACGAGTCAATGGCTCAATGATTTCCTTATTAGGTATGTTGATTTTCCCCCTGGTTGTCATGTGTGCCACGGGATCTTTCCGCAACGATTGGTTCTCCATGTTCATCGTTGCCCTCTTCGGCTTCGGAAACGGCTTCTCTGGCAGCCTCTCATTGATCACTATCAACGAGATCCCTGGCCTTTCCGGTCCCGAACTCAAAGCAACGGGCAGGTTCTCTGCTGTGGCGGTTAACTCAGGTGGGACGTTGTTTTCGGAGAGTTGTGGACCGGGTGAATGTGTGGAATTGTCCCTTTCAGGTCTATGCGTCGGAGGGTTTGTGGCCATGGGTCTCGGTGTCTGGCTTGGATTGGCATAAAATGGTTTATATCGACAAGTCGTTGACGTTCAATGTAGCTGTTCTGAGAATCTGGAAAATGCTATATTCATATTGTACTTTACTAAAACGACAATAATTGTGCGCGATAAGAAATTTATCCAAAACTGCGAATGTGTATCAGCCTGTGTTGAGTTACACCTGTCTTGACTTTCAATCCACATTGACGTAGAAGGCAGAACATGATGGTCATGCCAAAACGAAGTTGAATATGAGAAACTATAAAAAGTAACCAGAAGAACGGGACCGGCATGGCCTTTGTTGTCTTAACTTTTTATAGTAGACCCTTCTTTTTGCACGTCTACTCAAAGAAGTGTTGGGGGTGTGCATGAAATACCGGCCAAGATCGCCCTTGATACACAGCCGTTACATGTCCCGAAGAAACTAGCTATTGTCATTGAACAGTGCCATTGACCTTGCAGACCAGTCGACAGTTTCGGTTGGTCCTACATCCTGCGGCGGGGAGGCGTAGTGACCGGACACCCTGTGCACCCAGCTCGCGTGACAGAATTATGGTGTGACCATGTTATGAGGGCCAGGTTCGGCCATGAGTCATGGCCCGAATGCATGTCATGGCCCATGACATGCAGCAATGCACGTGAAGTGTAAGGTTGGGACGCCTGTACGGGAGTATTCATCGGCTACTCTACAGAGGAGTAATCCGAGGAGGTCAACGGCTGAACTGCTTTTGTATAAGGGGTTACAGCAGCCGAGGCTGTTATAGGAGCAAATAGGAAATCCCAAGCATCTACTAGATATGGTTAGAGACCTGACCTCATTCGTATCTTGTACGCAAAGACATGAGATGCCCTATCCGTTGTAGCTACACACGACACTCTTCCTTAGACATTATCACTCGAGTCATGCATCCTACCATTTGGAGGATATGCGGAGGCTTTAAAGCCTCTCGGAATAGCGAAAGCATGAACGTCACGAGAAGTCTCGGACAAAAGGCGTCTATGAGACGCGGCGAAAAATATACTCAAATATGTGATCTAAACGGGCCCTTCTATTTCCTTCACGCCGTCCATAACCCTGTCGGAGAGCGAGACGCTGTTGGGCGCGTAGTCGAGCCCTGGATACGATACGTAGGGTAGTGGTGGAGGGACCATCATAGGGTAAGGATGCGGGCCGATAGGAGGGTAATAATAGTAACCATTTGGTGGCACTGGAGCCCCTGCAGTAGAGGACTGGTATTTTTTCGTCTCATGCACGGTCTTGGCAGTAGTAGTACCACTCGCGGCCGAGGATGAGCAGTATGATGTCATGATATACTCTGTACGGGAACAGTCAGTGAATTTGATGCGAGACTTGACACCGACCCGTTCCAGAAGGGAGGACATTGGGAACGAGACCACCTGGAAAGCAGAGGACCCTGAGCTCGCAGTGTTACTGCCACGCCCAACAGTGTAATGGACCATGTTCGTCGAGGGACTGCTCGACCCAGTGTTGGCCATGGTACTGTCTTGCATGGGCTCGGGGTCATCACAAGGCCCTCCACCATCACAGGGGTTAGCAGCGACCACAACAGGCGTCGTGTCCCCGCAAGGCTCGCGGCCCCCACATGAAGATGCTACTTGGCTGTACACTACGTGGCCAGAGGACTGGTCTGGGCATAGGCTACTGTCTTGACACGGGACCGAGGCGGTGACCACTAGCGGTGATGGCATATCACATTGTTCCTCGTTGCAAGGGTCGACCATATTGCAAGGGTCCGGACCATCGCATGCGATGGGCGAATACTGTTGGAAGTACTGCATGATCTGGGGCATGAGTTGGCGCCAGAGGGGATGGGCCTTGGGGGAGGCCATGAAAAGGCCATACTGTGAAGTGCCAGCCAGGGGAAGGTTCACCATGGACACTTTGCCGTTCGTGAGGAGGTCGTGGGGGAAGCCTGACTGAACCACGATGCCAGGGTCAGCGGACACACCACCCGAGTCGAAAAGGGCACAGTACCGCAATGAGGCCATACGGACTGAGACCTCCTGCTTGAGGTAAAGCGGCAGGTAGGACGGGAAGTGCCTTTTGAAGCAGGCCGTGGACTCGGGGCCAAGGACGTCCCAGTAGTGGTGGTAGTACACGGGCTCCGGGAAGAACTGTTGCCAGGCGTCAGAGTAGCCTTGGAGCCAGGGAGGGTTGGAGCCAGTGCCAACGATGTGGAGTACTCTGGGGATGTCTCCTGTGCTGCGGAAGATGTTGGCCACAAGCCCGAGGGTAGTGAGTGGGATCGTCGAGAGGAGGGAGGTGATGATGTGGGCCATGATGGTGACTAGAAGCTGAAAGCTCAAGTGTGGTAAGTAGAGTCCAGTAGGGACGACCATGGCCGACGATCACGAAAGATCTTCAAGAGACTAGACTATTATTATTTACTCTGGGCCCCTAGTATCGGCCTCACGTAAGGCAGACGAACTACGAAATTACTCCTTTCCATTCTGACAGAGCTGCTACGTAAGAAACCCTTCGAGTCGGTACGATCGGGTAAACTTGGACACTTAGGCCAACTTGAGCTTCCTCAACGCAGGTTTGGTCGGTGCAAGATTGTCGGCTTTGCTTATTGTAATGCGGCTGAGGAACGGTGGAGCGATCCTGTCCACTTTTCGACTACCAACTCGGGGATGCGGTAAGCCTATCTGTGAGATATTCGCTGAGGGATAGCGAGTGGTCCCTGATAGGTCTTTTGGGCGCTGGTTTGGGTCATAACCCGGTCGTTATAAGTACGATACGAGACAAGCCCATAGGCCCTCTAGAGGGCATAAAGGAGGTAGCGCCCTTTCCGCTGGTTAGGAAGCTTGAGCTGAGCAGTGGTAGGTCGAGAGGTTGTTGGACGAGGCGTACACTAAGGCATGCGGAAAGGACCATCGAGTCTTCGGGGAGGTTCAAGTTGGGTAGTACTCACGGCATGGGGTGAATTTCATGGCGCAGTGACAGGTCTAGAGAATACGACCGTCTCTGGAGGTCTCAAGGCTTCTCTCCGACCTATGGTGAGATCACACCAACGGGTGTAGCCTATCTCTTCGGCGTTATGCTGCCGCCTCGGCCCGTGGAGCACTTCGTGGACCTTGGTTCGGGTGGGACCAGTACCATGCCCCCCCAACGTACTCGCTAATCAGGTATGGGCAAGCTGTGTCTGCAAGCCTGGCTGCAGTTCGGTCACCAGCTGTCTTCTATTACGGGAGTTGAGCTCAGCAAAGTGCGGCATAAGCGGGCAGTTGCGGCGGCCATGGAATTGGTCACTACTGAGAGAATTCAGGGTCAATGGGTGCCCGACAGTGCCCAACTGGTAGCCCTCGTCTCCTGTGCGAAACCATTGGTAGTATGTTCAGGATCTTGTTCTGGGGGATATGTTCAAACTGCCCCTGCATGACAAAACCTTCCTATACTGTGCTAATTTAACTTTCAGTCCCGAGGTGCGTCCCGAGTGCGACCATTCTAAGAGGCCGTTGATTACAGATACTCAGTAGACTGAGTCGGAAGATCCTAAGAGAGTCTCCGTCCGGGACTAGAGTCGTCTCAATGCGACCGTTGACCGGCGTTCCCATCACAGAGCCACAGGAGTGCAAATTGGCGATTCGCGGTAGTGGTTTCGAATTGTGGGGCATTGGTCCATAGCAGTTGGCCTGTAGGCATCCCCGAGCCTCCCAAAGTCAAGCCGGCAATGGGAGCGTTTTACGACGAAGACGATGGTCCTCTGGTGACGGCCCCACCAATGCCAGCAGACCCTGAGTAGCTCATGGGTGGTCTTGGCAGTGGTGGAGGGCGGCGCCTCTGGCAGGTTCGACGATAGTATCGACCCAGCGTGGGAAGGGATGACACGGTCTCGCAGGTCCTTCCCGAGGACGCGCTTACTCAGAAGGGACATCAGGAACCCGCGTCGATCCTTGTGTGGACTTAGGCGTAGAAGGTCTGTTGGGCAGCCGCTTGAGACAGACCGTAAAATGCTCAAATTGGTTGACCATTTGGACCTTCCCATGACGTGGAGTAATCACACTCCACTCTATGTCTACGGAGTTGTCATGGCTCCCTTATAATAATTCACACTGATTTCTTACCAGTTTGTTTCTATGACGGTTTCTGAGCTCGTGCCCTTGGGTCAGGTCGGTATCGGATTCGTAGGCGCTCGGCCGTCACTCTGTTGCTCCTAAGTTGACTGCTGTCATATGTTGTCACCTCAAATCCTACTGGAACAGCAGGGCCGTGATGGAGGCTTCTTCATTGACTGTGTTGACATAGTTAGGGCGGAGACTGGACTGGTCGGTGTGCCGAGGGACAGGTGATAAGTTGGGACCAAGGCACATTGGCCATTGAGTTGGAGTGATGGATTTTTATGTAAGGTTTGGCATCCTGAAGATGTTGATTTTAAGCTGCGATACGGCGGATTCTTCGTCGGCATCCCAGTGGTAGGTAGTGGATATGTCGTATCTTCCACTTGATCGCGAGGATACAAGAGATCGACGAGAGGCAACAAGAGGAGGAACTGGTACCGCTTTTTGTCATCGCGTTGTGGTGATTGTGACCTCTTGGGCAGGTTGCTGCATTGAAGGGCCCAGGACAGGGGGACGGTGGAGAAGGAGGTTAATGATTCAGAGGGGTCTCAAGAGAGTGGCCACTCGAGTCTTGGCTACTTCGTCTAGCGGTACCAGGAACTCGAGTAGACTTAAGACTTCAAAGGGACCTCGAGAAAGAGGAGGGTGACGAGGGTGAAGCGCCTGTGACGAAGGCGGCCAAGAGGAATAGTATCTCGGGGCTCGATGCTATGCTGGGCTTTAACGATAACAGTGACGAGAGCTGGTATGAAGATGAGGTTTGAAGGGGTTAGAGTTTCAATTGTGACAATCATACTGTACCATAACGTAGATATATACCTATTTGGACATAGTTATGTTAGAAATGCTGGGGGGTTGGGTTGTTAATCATCTCTAGGATCTTCATCTCTTGCAACATCGATCAATACGGTCCACCGTTCCATTTTTTCCAGGAATCAGAGCAGTGGCATGAACTTGGTATGGCTGGAGGTTATAGTGGACTGCGGAAATCTCGTCAAAAGAATGCCTGCTCGTTCAAGTGAAGTAAGAGAACAAACTTCAAATCGAAAAGGAGAAAAAGTTTGAAAGCCGAACGAAAAGTACCCTACCCGGGGATCGAACCCGGAATCTCCACCTTAGGAGGGTGGCGCCTTATCCATTGGGCCAGCAGGGCGAGTGATGGTAAGCTAAAGAACACATCATCACTCATGGGATTGTTACCTCAGCTGCTTCCCAGCCGGGCTCAGACCGTAGTTCGAAAGTAAGCAGGCTCATCCGTATCCTGTAGAAGGAATCCATCTCGCACTCATCCACCATCGCTTTTTAGCTCCTTATACAGGCTTATCCCGCAGGCAGGTAGTCGATGGGATGTCCCTCGTATTTCCTCTTGGTACGCCTGTATCGCTGATTCTGATTCAGCAGACCCATGCGAGTGGTGGCCTCGGGGATCATTCACGTATCGATACCACAACTATCACCCAGGGATGCGAGATGTGCTTTTCGGCCTTTTAGTGTTGCGTTTGCGGGGCGTGGTGTGGTGTGTAGCATTGACAGCTCCTCTCAATTTTGGAAGTGTGTTGCGATGTGTGAAGTGGCCCCCTACGCCACCCTAGTTTATACTTTGGGGGTCACTCGAGCGCGAGACCGAATGAGATTCGAACCCAGGCCGGCCAGAGTGGCCTTGGGCAAGCAACTGACGGTAGTGGAGTTACCGGCTTCTGGACAGTAGGGCTATTATGGCTTCAGGAAGTCATGTCGAAGATTCATCGTAGCAGGGCCCGAGAGCTACCGAAAGGGCGGCCATATGCGAGATGTGCTAAGCTACGTCCAGCGTCACGGCGTCCGTGGTACAGTGTCGATGAGATGACAAGGATATACTCCCAGCCTACTCCGAGGAACATGGTCAATCGCCGCGAGCCTTCCCCCAGGTAGTCGATGGGATTTGCTCCCCGATGGGCCATGGGCCTCCCATTTTAGGGTGAGTACGTGGTCCAAGCTCAACGAATTGAAAGCCGGGCTGGCTGATTTGGAACGCCGTTACCAGCGAGTTGTCACAGCTTGAAAAGTCTTGCCTGTACGCCATACTCCCACTCCCATGTGTTCCTCTGTTGTCTGTTGAGACTCTATGGCTACTGAGTTGTGGAAATTGTGGTATGGTGGGATTGAATAGTATATTATTACTCCTATGACTCAGCCGGAGGACACCGAGAACTCTGCTGGCTACGGAAGGCCCTGTAAAGCAGGTAGGACAGGGAACGATGTGAAACGATTCGACCGCGGTGGCTTTGACAGTCTCCTTCTGCCTACTACACCCAGACTGCAAAGGGCGTATACTGCCCAGTGCCAGTGGCAAGTCCGTGCTTATCGATAACGCCGCTCTCGGAGGGGAAGCTATTTTCGATTCCGTTATCAAGGGGGACAAGTCTCAGGATGAGCTATTCGAGATCATCTGCAAGGTGAGACCACTCAGGAGTCATACCACGCCTCGCCGGAATCATCCCTATCTCAGCCGTTCCTGAGGGACCTCCTCACCGAGAAGCGTGGCAGTAACAATAAGGGCTTCCTCGTTCTGGCCGCTGGTCCCTCGGGTGCTGGCAAGACCTTCTGCGTTACTGGTGGCGCGACCAAGTTCTCCGACCGGGGCTTGATCCCACGGACCTTGACACATTTATTCGATCACAAGCCGAACTCGATGAAAGTTGAGATATCATTTTACGAGATATATAAGGAGGAGGTTGTGGACCTCCTGTCGCCCAGGGCCAAGATTTCCCATAGCGAGGACCTCACTAGAATGCTGGTGGACAATGAGTCGGGCGCATACCAGGCCCTCTTCACCGGCGACAGCAATCGGCACTTTGAGAAAATGCCGCAGAATGCAGAGGCCAGCCGTGGGCATGGCATATTCGAGATCCTTATCAACGGTCAGGATAAGGTAGGGCGTTGGGGCTCTCCGCTGGGGACCGCGACAGCTCAGATAACGTTTGTGGACCTGGCCGTTTACGTGCCCAACTGTCGCACCTCTACAAGTCGGTTGAACAAGAAGTCTCAAGACGCGTTGAAGAACGTCATACAGTCACTGGCCCAAGAGGGCAAGCGGAGGAGCGGCCATGCGAGGGAGTCGCAGTCCCCAGCGTTCCGACAGAGCATGCTGACCTTAGTCTTGAAGTGAGAGGAGAATTCTGTTGTGATGAGTAGGGCGACTTGTAGGCCGTACTTGCAGTCCGTCCAGTATGGGGTCATAGGCAGCGTGTTGATCACGTGTCTGGGTCCAGGTGGGTCCGCGGCCTCTAGGGCATGGAGTGAAGGGGCTAGGGCGGACAACCAGCAGTGGACGCGGTAAGGCGAGCTGCTCCTCTATGGGATCGCTCTCATGAGGTTGTAGGTTCGCCGAGTCGTGGTGGAAAGCATTTCAGAGACGGAAGCCTGTGTCGGCCTCTAAGACGGTGAGTCGGAGGTCACCCTTGCGGGCCCAAGAGAAGGAGGGCCATGACTCTATGGACGTCTCAACCGATGTGAGATCCATACGCCATAGTGCTGCTGCGACCCTTGGGCCCCTTAGGACATCGACTGGAGTGAAGAGCCCACCCTACCGGCGGTTCCCCCAATACAGCTGGCGGCGGCGGCTCGGCACATCGGCACTATGATAGCCGGCACCGTGTCCTCGACCGCCGCGCCGTGGAACAGCACGAGCAACAAGCCGCCTGCTCATCCCATGCCAACACGCCAGGAGAGCCACCTGGAAGAGGCAAGTGCTCTCAGAATGTTGAAGCAGTAGTGTATTCCTCAGGAGCCGCTAGCGATCAAGTCGGTGTCAAGCTCAGCTTCACCGTTCTCGAGGGTGGAGAGCTCGGCTAAGTCGCTACGGCGCTCGTTCTCTGCAGTTGGCGTGACTAAGGTGCCCTCGGCCCAGATGGTGACTGACGGGTTTCCCTCGAGTTCCCAGCCTCCCCTCACGCCACTGCAAGCCTTCTCCCTGGCCTCTACCCCGATCATTATGACGCCTCAACAGGATTATCGCACCCAGGGTAGGTTCGCAGGATTACAGACTATTATCGTTGTCCTCCATCATCAGGCCCATCGACTATGGTACCCAGGACCCCACCCGTCATGTGGGCCGGCCCACCTGGCACGCCACAACAAGCTGAACGGACGCCAATGATCCCGATGAGAGGGACAATAGGAGCGCCGAGGCCTCTAACCCCACAGGACAACTACCGAGACGAGTCGCTCTTGCTTACGCCCCAGTCGCTGAGTCGATATCGGCAGACTCTGCCTGTTCGGACCCTCAGCACTGCAGAGACTCTTGCCAAAGCGCAGGTGTGATCGAACTTCATGGCTTAGATGAGGATTGCTGTGCCCTCAGCCACTACAGTTCACAAGTCCGACGATAGTGTCCCAGAGCCCTCCGAGACCAGCCACGAGTTCGATGGCTAGGAGTCATTCAGTGAACGCTCTCCCGGCAAGGAAGGCATCATCGACTGTGTCCAGCAATACCCCGGTGTATACTATGAAGGCCCCGACGGGTTCATCGCCGCAGGTTTACTATGAAACCCAACCGCGGGTAGACTCAACGAATGGAACCCGTTTTAGTGGCATTCTTGTTCGCATTCAGGCAGCAGCATCCCAACACTATGTCTACGACCCGCGCATGGTCCCGAGTAATGGTCAAGAGAACTACAAGACCTATTCTGCTGCTGGCCCTCCTTATATCGCTCAACCGAGCCCTACCCAGCTGGTCCACACTTACGCCCCCAATGGGGGCTATTACCCTGCTGGTACAGGCTACACCACTGTATCGCGCGGCGGTCAGCCAGCTCCCAAGCCGCATGAGCGTGCTGACTAAGCAGCAACCACCGTCCCGCCAGCTAATGCAGCCTTTGATACTCTAGCAATGATGATGATGATGATGATCTTGTAGAGTAGAATTAATATCCTCTCATGACTAAAGCTGTTGACCCTCTCGCTAGGATGGGCCGTTAACGGCCATGCGCGATGGTGCCATGGACGAGAATTAGGGATGTGTTGCGCTGAGTTGAACTAGGGCGACGGGAGACAGAACCCGAGCTGCATCTTGCGCTGGTTTTAGCCGATTTTTGATTTCGCTTCTTGAAGTAGCGCAATATCGTGTTAGCTGCCCAGGACTGTTGTGCAAGGGGACGCAGTGCTGGTTAGTGAGGGACTCGTGTGGCTTGTTGTTGATGGTGAGGTATCTGCTCATCTGCTAGGGATCGGGTTATAAAAATGCGTGGTTACATTTTGCTGTCGGCCCTGATTGGTCTTGCTGCTGCGCAGCGTTCGATGGAAGAGGCTGACGTGACTACTGATTTTGCCCTGGACATGCCTGCAGCTCGGAGAGCCAAATTCGATAGTCAAACTGTAAGATCTGGTCCTGAGTTCGCATGTAGATTTGCAATGGTATGGTGCTTCAGATGGCCAACTTGTCCGAGATCGAGGCGGACATTATCGATGAAGCCGACTCCATCTGGTCTTGGATCCGCCAAGTCGTTGCATCGCCGATGTCTACCGGTGACTACGCTTGTCTCAAGATGAAGGCAAAGGGTGGCAAGGGTGACAAGGAGGTCTTGAAGCAGACCATCCAGATTGGCTATTGTGAGCCGCTCGGAAAGAACATGTAGCATCGCAATCGATGTGATCAATCAAGAGTTTGGAAGTGTATCAGGTCTTTCAAAGTGTCAGTCGGACAGGTGACCAAGCGCATGCACTTGCCAGAGTGGATCGATCCAACTGGAGGGTCCATCACCATACCCAAGTTCTTCTCTCAAGTGTAGGTTGAAGTGCGCTGTTTGAGAGTAGTTGTATGGCGTAGGTATGACGATACTCAGTGTACAGTGAACAGCACTGTAGCTGATGCTGGCTTACTTTCGCTCCCTCACGTCCACAAGATACATATCAAGAATGGGAAGTGCGTGGTGAAGATCGAAGAGGAGCCGCTACCAACCCTACCACCCACCGCGGTGACTACTACACCCACTCCGACTGAGCAGACTACCACTACACCCACTCCAACTGAGCAGACTACCACTACACCCACTCCAACTGAGCAGACTACCACTACACCCACTCCAATAGAGTACTACTACACCCACTCCAACTGAGGCTGCCACCACTACTACGCCTACTCCAATGGAGACAACTACTCCGACAGTAAAGGAGAGCGGAGCGGAGGTGACGCCGCCGGCTGCTGAGCCCGAAACTGGTGTGAGTGAGGAAGTTGCAGTGAACTAAGTTCGATGCTGCGGAAGACGACTTACTTAGGACTTTCCTAGTCTTTGAGGAGTTCGTTCTCACTCTTCTGTCAGTGGCAACAGTTGCGTTGTAGTACAACGGTTGTACAGTCAAACTTTGCTGAATCGCTGCAAGTGTCCTCATCGAACTCCGTCCATAATGCTAGACTATGGCCCTTGGTCCAAGGGGTCCCCTTGAAGGGGACACAATGCATTGTATTGGAGGCATTTCATGTTGATAGATACACGATTCGAAGTACGTTGCGCATGACTGCACGGAAAATCATATGCCAAACTCGCTGATGTGTGTTTCACTGGGATATCCGAGGCCGGAAATGTGTATCGTTCACATGTTACTGGGCCTGAGAGTTTGGTTTTGCAAAGGATAAGGCTGGACTCATCTTAAAAAAGCAACTGTAGTTATTCCACAGCGGTGCTCGCTGGTGCAACGAACCACATGAAATCCTTGATTGTACTTTTCGCGCCAACACAATCATTGTTCGCTGAAGGACTCCTTTCGAAGTAGCAGGGTTCACTCAATTAATGTACTCCGAAACAATACTCAAACGACTCTACAACGAAACAACTCACAGTACAGTGACAATCGTCAATGAGCAATGGTACTTTGAATCGAAGTGTGATGTCAACAGAAGCATGTTTGATTGTCCACCCATCGCGTGAGAATGTGGCCAGCGTTCGATATGTCCGCTACGTCTTCGATGTGCCAAGCCGCACACCCCAACAGAACTGCAATCATCGCGGCCGCTCTCTCGCCGAATATCAAGGTGAGTACAACTCCTCCTGTAACCCCCATTGTAAGTATGGCTAGATCTCGTACGTGATCGGTCGGTGGATGGTCAGGGATCGACACTATCGTCTCAAGCACTGCGTAGTTGGTGACAGCCTTCGCAACATGTGTAGCATGCCGACAGTACGGACAAGTAACGTACTTGCCGAACAGCCACGAGTTCGAAGTCACAGACTCCATGCACTTGGCGCAAACACTATGGCCACATCGTGTGAGTACCTAGAAACTCGCAATGGTTGGGAAGGTTAGTAGGAACCCACCATAGGGCGATAGCGGCAATCGTCATAGTCGTTACAGCAAATACCACATTCAAGGGGAGCAAGGACACCTGCATTGCTGCTATCTCGTGGCTTCATCCGCGTAACAACTCGAGGGAGGAGTTGTGGTAATCGGGCCGATGCCCAGTCCCAATACTCTATCATACACTGTGGCATCGAACACTCATCTACTATTCAGCCTAAATAACTGCTGATAATACGAGTCATTTTAGCCACTTAACTCGGCAAACAAGATTTTTTGAGTTTCCTGAGGGGGTGAATCAACTGCAGATGTGTCGAACAGTTGAGCCAGCTCACGACACGCATGCAAATCCACTACCTACAAATCTCAAAAAGCTCCCGCGCCTAGCCTAATCAGGAATATTCTCCGATGAGCTGTCTGGCACACAGCCTGTGTGCCTGTGTGACACAGGCCTAGTATAAGCCAGTTTCGCCGTTGTTCACCTGACTCAGATTTCTACCATAACTTTGCAGCAACGCCGTGGGGTAGATTTCTTCACGCAGCTGGCGATTGACAGAAACAAAATCAGTGCTACAGTCTGCTACCCGCACCCCCACCGAAGCTATCGAGTCATTGTAACGCAGCACGTATCACAGTAGTCTCAGACACTTATAGGAAAACGCTAGGGTGTATTTTACCAAACAGTTACTGTTACAGTAGTGGTGTGTTGTCAATCTAAAAGAAACGGGAACTCTGGGAACGCGACTCGTCCTCACAGTCGTCGGCCAACTTTAGGTTCTCCTGCTTCAACGAGAGCATCTTGAACTTGTTGGCTTCAACTTCAACTCGTACGGCTACTCGGCCGTCGTCAGTGACCTGTGAAACGAAATGGCTATGAATTTGAGTCGCTCGAGGACTACCTTCACAACTTCAGCTGGTTTGTTGTTGTAGTGTTGGGCTTTAGCGAGACCTGTGACTACCACTCGGTCGCCGTCCATAAAGGAACACGTATCGGCAAACAGTTCTTCTCGTACGCCCACTCTGAGACAGCACGCATGCACACACCGAGAGGTGCAGTGCTGAAGTTCACCTATGGACCAAGGGGGTCGGGGGAGCGCAGCTCTTTCGATAGCCTTCGGGCAAGAGCATCTGGCTGAAATTGAGAAGGTTCGATACGCCAGTAACCTGACAAGAAAAGCCTCCCACGAGAAGACCCGGGCCAGTAATAGTGGCGTACTTCATAAGGAAGTAACGGCAATTGCACGATAGATACATGAGCGTCAGCGACTTCAGGGAAGTTGCGCAGTTCATTAAGGTACTTCTGCTGGATAGAATTCCTGAGAAACCGTGATGAAAACTGGGCGGAGCGACACGGCCCGCTACCTGGCCCGACAGAATTGAACCGCCTGTTGTACCGTTTCCCACTGAGCGTGGCCGAGCACCTGAATAATGAATGGTCGAAGTTTGACCGGAGACTACATTCAGACCGAATGTAGACTGGTACTGAATGACTCAGTACCCCTTCGCCTTTCTGGGTGGTAGCGGCGTCATCGATCGACAACGAAGTGAAGTCGCCGAGCACCAGTTGATTCACAACAACGTGTGAGACTGCGACTTGGTCTTTGTGGAGCTCCTGACAAGTCAGCAGTGCAGCGTCACGCGCCACGAAATTGTCTCACCCTCAGCAGCCTCTGGCTCTCCTTTATACTGAGATACTCGGCGATGCATACTACCACGAATGTGGTCCTCATCCGATCCTTCAGCATCCGTCCAACCTTTTCTATACCTTTTTTATAATCTCGTATCCTACCAGTGACCTACACACGCTACACTTCACATTTTACCGGGTAAGGAGTCTGCATCACCTTTTTGCGCAAGGCTTCAGTCTGAGAGTAGTTGCCTCCTTTCACCATCTGCCAGTACTGCCACAGTGAAGTCTGCCACGACTCTAATTTGGTGAGTCCAGCCTGAGATTTCCAACCAATACATGGCGGGAAGCATAGCAATCAGGTAACGAAATTCGAGATTTGAAGTGAACCAAATGGGAGAACTCTCACACATCAGTATGGTCCGAAGAAGCCTTCCTATTACCTGCAAAATGTCAGGTAGCTGTAGGAGTTTGAGGGTATGCCCCGTCGGTGCTGTATCGAAGACTATAATGTCATAGTGGCCGCCTTCCAGTAGATCCACTACCGAGGAGAGTGCCGTTGCCTCGTCTATACCGGGTATGCCCGATATCCAGTCCTACCACAGACGACTCTTCAGGTCTACAGCCCAGCGGTAGCTCTACCTGCAGCTTCTCAATGTTGTTGATGAGGTCATTGTAGCCGGCCTGATGAGCGAGCTCCCCCCACTGCTGGAGCTCATCTTTAAGGTATGTTTGAGGATTGATCTCGAGGACGTCCAAGTTCGGAACGCCGGGGACTGGTGTAGGCTGAAGGACAGAGAATGAAGAGCAGTGTGACACAATATGCACATGGTCAACCACATGTGTTGTTGACAACATGGAAATTTTGAGGAAATTTTTGGAAATTTTTGCTGTTTTTTTATCTTCCAATTCAATTCCTATATAAACTCCTATGATTAGTGAGGAAACTCATGAGCCCAGCTGAGGAAAGCGAATATATTTCTCAACACTGATGAGACTATCTGCCATTCCGACGGTATCACCTCGCCACCGAACCTCGTACGGAATGCATCGCCGAGACTATGAGCTGGGTCTGTTGATAGCAAGAGAACCTTGCGAGTGTATGCCAACTGTATAGCAATTGCTGAGGAGGTTGTGGTCTTGCCTGTGATCGAATACATACGATCATAATCACGAGCCGAAGTGGGCATTACCTACACCTCCCTTCCCACCGACGAAAACGAATTTGAGATTTGGGTCTTCGATGATTTTATCGATATACGCCTGTCGGTCGTGATCAGAGTTGACAGAGTCCATGATAGCAAGAAACAGAAGAGGGCCACCGAAATTAACGTTATACGATGAACCCCGTTGTAGAATCTTCAAGACTTGCTGGAACTCAAGGCGCGAGAGCTCAAGAAAAAATACACTAAGTTGACTGAAGATTAACCGAAGTGAGAAAGAGTCAAGACCTTGCCGAGTGCGAGCACGTCATCGCCGAAGTTAGCTGAGCAGCTTTGGACCTCAGGATTCATTCGCTGCCACCAGCAAGGACCTTGCTGCTATACTCACTGCTCTAGCTCCTTATACCTCTATCACATTGGGATCAGGCAAGACCTTGGCGCCCTGCTTATCGCCTTTCTTGGTTTCGACCACTCTGCCAACGATCCAGCCCCATTCGCGACGTGGATCATCATCACTATAGCAAGCTCTGAGAGCTGCTATGAATTTCTCGGCAGTTTCCTTATCACGAAGCATGACCAACAGGCCACCACTGGTCTCAGCCGCCCGACCCTCTAGCAAACCATAGTCTCTACCATTGGGCCGAACCATCGATAGAGTCTTGCAACCCTGAATAGTAGGGACGGTATCGATCTCGATACTAGCTCCCGACTTCTGTACCCGGGCCAGGTTGTCAGCGTGGCCCACTAGACCAAACCCTGTGACATCAGTAGCACCCAAAGCTCCGAACTCCCGCATGAGCCTGCAGCCGTTCTTATTCAGAGTCATCATACTAAGGTCACCCATCTTGACGGCTCTAGTACAGGTCTCGACGTCTAGACCGGCCTTGACAACCTTACCCCACTGGGCCTCATTCATCATCCACAAAGCCAGGTTACCAGTTACCTGCGTGCCCAGAGGCTTCGTCAAGACTATGACGTTACCAGGGACTGCCCGGTCGGTCGTGACCAGTTGAGATTGGAGCATTGTAGCCATAGCACAGCCACCTAGCAGGGGCCAAGGGTTGAACACAGTCTGGCCACCAGTGACCTTGGTTCCGGCCTCCTCGCAACAAGCATTGAAGCCTTCTATCATCTTCTTGGTGGTAACTGTCTGTTCAAGCGGGGACATCTTCATGCTGACAGTTAAAATCATGAGGATGTTATTGATGTCGTCGGCCCCAACGGCATAGAGGTCGGAGAGAGTATTAGCGGCCGCAATCCAGCCTTGGTGGAAAGGGTCTTGAGATATAGGAGATAAGAAGTCAGTGCTCGAGACGAGTACTCGTTCACCGTCCCCGACAGGCACCATAGAGCAATCGGGAGAATCTTCAGTCAACATGTTGCCATCACCGATCTGCGGCAAGAAACTGCTCAGCTGATCGGGTTGGACTTTGCAACCTCAGCCTTTCCTCTCACTGAAGGACGTGAGAACGAAGTCCTTGGACAGACCCAAGGAGGTAGGGTCCCACACCCTAGGGGGCAGGGTGCTCTCCGAGGTGGTCTCGGAGGCAGTAGAACTACTCATTGATGCTGGTAACGCTGTGCAATAGAGTCAACTAAGAATATAGAACTGGGGAATGCTGTCGGGAGTACGTAAACTCTAGGGCTAAGCGGTAAGACACCACTGTGCACAAGCGATTCTTTCTAATGAAGATAGGCTTCGCTCCGCTAAGAAAATACGCGCGCGCCCTGGACGCAGAATTGATCGTTCATGGAGTGCATCGGGCTCGTACTCTTCCGAAGCAGCTTCACCCGACATAAGCAAGCCTTCACGGCAGCACATTCTCTCTTAGACCCAAGCACTTACCCTGATTAGACGTCTACGTGTTACTGCAAAGAATAAGCCTCACGTAAGCGAGGAAACTGTCACCACTAGTCTTCTTTTATCGATGGGCCTGTTTGACTTGTTGATTTCCATCGTGACGGAAACTATCCCGTCCGTAGTGACGGTGATCGAATAAAAAGTAAGTGCTTGTAGGTTTTCAGCCGTATTTACATTGGAAATGAAAGCCTCCAATTCAACTTCGAGTTTCTCGGAACCGTACGAATCGAAACCTCTGCTGCGGGACCGAGACGGAGCTAAGTTGAAGAGCGTATCGCCCTCGACGAGCGCCGCAGCCATATGGTGGAAGTCGATGAAGCAGTGGCCCAAAGAAGTCTGGCTTATATTCCTATTGAAGTACCTAGAGTCTTACGCCTACTTCGTATTCGCTTACACCTTGATATTGTTCCTCTCGGACGAGTTCGGATTCTCTGATGAGGAAGCTGGCTGGAGTTACGGTTTTTACGGTATGCTAGTTAGCGTGTACGGATTTATAATGGGTACAGTTATCGACACCCTAGGGCCACGGTGGTCCCTTACGGGTGGTATGAGTATACTGCTAGTATCCAGGCTTGTGATGGCAACGACTTACTCAACTCACGTACTTGCTGCAGTCCTTTTCACGGTCCTGCCCATTGGTGGCGCTCTAGGCATACCTGTGATGCAAATAGCCATCAAACGTTTCACAGAGGGAGAGGACCGTTCCACCGCGTTCTCGATGTTCTACGTAATTATGAACGTAGCAGCCATCACTGCGGCCCCGTGCATTGATGCCTTCCACCGGGCTTTCCCTCGTGGAGTCGTCTTGACCTTAGCTGGTGGAGACGTCCACATAACAGTGTCCAGCTATCGTATCCTCTTCCTCACTGGTGCATTCGTCACAGCTCTCTGCTTGGTTATATGCCTGCTCTTCCTGAAGGACCCTCCTGTGGAATCGAACGCTGGGCGAGAGAAGGTCCCCAGCCAGATGTTTCAGGAGGTCATGGCCAGTGATGGTTTCTGGCGGTTCCTGCTACTAGTCGTACTGTTGATGGGAGTACGAGTAATTTATCGTCATATGGATGCCACTTTCCCTAAGTACATGGTCCGAGAGTTTGGCCCTGATGCCCTCTACGGCACCATTATCGCTCTCAATCCTCTATGTGTGGTGCTCTTGGTCCCCCTATTGTCACCACTAGCTTTCAAGTATCACCCGCTGAAGCTCATAATCTTCGGCGCTACAGTGACGGCTATCTCTCCATACTTCCTCGTCATGGGCCACACCTACATCACCTGCGTGTGCTTCGTCCTATGCCTCTCCCTCGGTGAGTCAATTTGGTCACCACGCCTCTACGAGTACACGGTTTCCATTGCAGAGGACGGTCGAGAGGGGACGTACATGGCGTTGGCTTCTACTCCCATGTTCGTGGCTACACTGTTCACTGGAGCGGTATCGGGTTGGCTTCTTGATACGCTGTGTCCAGCCAGCGGTATACGGCATGCAGAGTTCATGTGGCTACTGATCGCTCTAGGGAGTACCATTTCCCCGGTTCTTCTCTTCGTCTTCCGAGACGCGATTGCCGGTAGCAAGTTGTCGGAATTAGAATGGCCAGTAGCGAAGCATCATGAGGGGGCAGAGCCTGAGCGGACTACTACCACAACTTCGAGTAGCAGCAGCATTGTAACATAGTTGACCCATGGACAAGCATGAATATATCTAGCTGTAATTGAGTGTTAGTTGTTGGTTTTGTTTTGTTAGTAAGAGAGGGTTGGTCGTGCGAATCATGATGATCAGGTTTGTTGGGCTACCATGCCTGCTACTGCAAATTACCGATCATTGGGGAGGGGTTGTTCTCAGGCCGACATTGATCCGCACCGTCCAAAGGAGGCTATTGGTGATGGTCGTGATGAATGTCGTGGGAAGATCCAGAAGATAATTAAGGTCCGGCTGCCTCAGGAGGGGGTTCGCCTTTATGCTGGTGCCAATAGTACCTTCGTGCGAGTTCTATCTTTTATCGAGGCCACGGAGTCAGTGGCGTCCACGGTAACGGCTGTTTTATCTCTGAGCGGAGCAACCACGCAAGGTCTGTTACTCTATTCGATTCATCCGGCCTTACAGTGGACTCTATCTATGGCCGAGATCGGTGTTCTAGCCACTGCTGGCGCTTCGGTACTCACAATCATACGGGAATATTCAGGGGATCTACCGCTGGCCTGGGAGGCCTGTATGAGAATCGGCATCATCCTAAGCCCTTGGGCGACGCTCGCGACCAGTGCATTGCTGATAGTGACCACTTCCTCAACATGGGCTCCCTTCTATGCGACTGTCTTCGCTCTCAATACTGGAGGTATCGCTTTTGCTGAATGGACTCGTGTTATCCTCAGAAAGACATCAGGTGGCTTAACTAGAACGTTAGGGACGGTCGGGGCCTGGTTTGGAGCTTTTGTTGGGGCAGCCTGCTCTGTCATTTTGACTGTGTCCGTTGCGAGTGTTACCGGTCCTCTATCATTGATATTATATTCCGGCCTTTGCCAGTTGGGCTGGGGTCAGGCCACCATCGGACTTGCCGTCACTGGTGGTATGAGTGCTGCAGGAGCGGTATGCGGCGGAGTGGTGGGTGTTGCAGCCGGTACACTTAACAGCATCAATCTTAAAAGCTCCACCGCTGAAGCTCGCCGATTCTGGTTCGACTGGCTCAGCTGTGATGAGCAATATGTAGAGCAGCCTGACGCTGACTCCTCGAGATATGATCCGGACGCGTCAGCATCGGAGCGTTTTAGAGACGTTCTTTGCGAGATCGGCTGGCTCCCATAACTAATTTATT